AAAATTACCCAAGACATGTTTTATACAATTCAAATTGATTGGTATTTTAATTTATGCATTATTACTGAGCAAAACACTTTTTATTGAGATGAATTCAATTGCTTAAGTGATGTAACAACACAGATTATACATCAATAATGACAGAAAAATAACTTTTGGAGTTTTGAGCATCACATCTTATTTCAATTGACAAGTTGAAAAAAGAATGATGCAAAATTATTTAAAATTCAACTAATCATGAATCTGTACACAATTTATTTGGCAAACATCGTCAAACGATGTTTTCGGGGACAATATCTATTATGAAAAAAAACTATTATTTTAATAGAGGATTTTCCAACATGTGGTCTGTAATGCATTTCCTTTGGGTTGTATATATGAACATATTAAATACAACTGTTGCTAATGGCAACATGTACAGCATCCTCTTCAAATCACTATTATTTGGGAGATTTTATAAATCACAATAAACTGATAGATTTCGCCGCAAATATCGTGTAAAATGTGTTTAATAACGAGGGATAATGACTAAAACAATCAAAGCAAAACTAATAAGCTTACTTCTGTGGGAATATTTTGGATAATTTTCGTAGCTGTGACCTTCCTCAGCCAGCTTGTACACATGTTGAATATGCATCTGAATAATCTCAGATCTGTTTACCATGCCTGGCATTTTAGGGTATGATGTGGTTGAGTGAGATATGGGTGTTGTGAGATTCATGTGGGACAGGGCAAGTTTCATGTGGGTACTTTGAAAGTTTGATGCAAGTGCAGCTATGGCGAGTAAAATATTGGTACATGGTGCTTATATATGGGGGGGGGAATTATTGAGGAATGGATGCATGTTGATGAGATATTGGGGTACGGTGAGTGAGATATGAGTGTAAGGAGGGTGAGATATGGGTGCATGATGAAGGAGATATGGGTGCAAAGTATTGAGGAATGGGTGCACGATGACAGATATGGGGGCCAGGTGAATGAGATACGAGTGTAAGAAGAGAGATATGGGGGCCAGGTGAGTGAGATACGAGTGCATGGCGAGAGAGATATGGGGGTAAGGTGGATGAAATATGGGTGTAAGGAGAGCAAGATATGGGTTCATGATGAGTGAGAAATGGGTGCATGATGACAGAGATATGGGTATAAGGTGAGTTAGATATGGGTGCATGGAGTGAGATATGGGTGAATGGCAAGATGTACTGCAAGAATGGTGAGATATGGGTACAAGGTAAATGAGATATGAGTGACTGGCAAGTGAAGTACAGTAAAATGCAAGTAAGATATGGGTATAAGGTGAGTGAAATATGGGTATAAGGTGAGTGAAATATGGGTGTAAGGAGACTGAGATATGGGTGCATAATGAGTGAGATATGGGTGCATGAGGAGTGAGATACGGGTGCATGAGGAGTGAGATACGGGTGCATGAGGAGTGAGATACGAATGCATGAGGAGTGAGATACGGATGCATGAGGAGTGAGATATGGGTGCATGAGGAGTGAGATATGGGTGCATGAGGAGTGAGATATGGGTGCAAGGAAAGTGAGATATCGGGTGCAAGGAAAGTGAGATGTCGGGTGCAAGGAAAGTGAGATGTCAGGTGCAAGAAAAGTGAGATGTCAGGTGCAAGGAAAGTGAGATATGGGTGCAAGGTGAGTGAGATATGGGTGCAAGGTGAGT